CACACACACACACACACACACACACACACACACACACACACACACACGAGTCGAGCTAAACATTATCCAAAGCACCTTCTTAAACAGGTGTGCAGTCACATTAAGTCACGTGGTCCGTCTGCCAAGAGCTTATTAGAGAAATAACATTAGGTCATGAAGTTTTTTTACAATCAAATGTTGTTGACCGGCCACCTGTACTCAATACAGATGATCACAGACAGCATTTCATCATAGTCATTACTAAAAGGTAGGGTTGGTAATCTCCTAAAAACTGTTTGGTATTTTTGTTCTTATTACATTCCGACAGCAGTCAATGAATCAAATGCTCCGATTAAAAAAAAACTGTCATAAGGCCATCCAATCATTTCACTCTGATGTAATGATTGGATGGGACGGGGCTGCCTGCCCGCCTGCCTGCACATATTCTCTCCGTGCGCTAATTGTTTGTCACCGAAGTTGAACACAAGCTGCTCGCTTAACAGCTGTGAGTACTAACGGCAGCCATGTGTTTGTTTACGTTCCTAATGATAATGTTTGGGGGAGTGGCTTTGGAGGAAGGCCTGAAGGGAAGAGCCGTCAGCGTTGCCGACTTGGTGACGTTCTTGCTACATTTAGCAACTTTTGGCACTGGTGTTGCGAGCTACTGTCATTGGAAAAGAGTTGGCAACACTGGGCCGGGTTTTCATGTTGGATCATTTTTTTAAATCTTGCGCACTGTTGCTAGTTTCTCAAGATCACCAACCCTGCCTTTAATTAACGAATTAAAGATCGTAATAATGAACTTTACATAGCATCTTTTATTTACATTAAAAGCACAACCACAAACTATTGTACTCTAGTACCTGTATAGCTCTTGTCGGGGGAGGGCGCTGCTGTACTGCCCACTGACGCACCCTGCAGATTCAGACGCAGTGCTGCTGCTGGACTGCTGCTGCTGCTGCAGACGCACACACAGCGGCAGCACGATGTCATGGAGATGCTGCGGGGAGAATCACAACGGAGCGGAAAAAAGATCACAGAATGCCCGTTGGCTTTTGACAAAAACAGATCGAGATGTCCACTGATCGAGAGGGGTTCCGTGACAACATTTACCTTGTGTATATCATCTTTCAGCAGTGTACCGCTGCTCAGGATGATTTGCCTCAGTGCTGTGAAGAGAAGAAATCAGTGTGATCACACCAGGTATGAAGAAGACCAGCAGACCGTTAACACTCTATTGTATAGGATGGAATCGAAGCGAGGCAGCATCTCACCACCGAGGGCCGAAAGGCAAGTATCCTGATTAGTCAGAAGGTCTCCTTTCCTCTGGAGCGACGGTCCGACTGTGTCTGCTATGACCAAGGACTTTGTCCTCCGCGGGCCGGGCTTCCCCCCAAGAACCGCGTCTGCTAAGAGTCCCACCCGGAGCTGCAGGACGGGACAACACAGAGGGGGGAGCTGAAGACAAAACTTCCGTGCTGCTGCACTGACATATCACACCTATAAACTCCCCTAAGGATCAAAAGGCTAATCTATGAAGAGCAGGCAGGTTATTAATGTCAGGATACATGGTGGTTAAATGTGGACTTTCTGTTGCTACGGGTCTCTCAATCAAAACAATGACAGATTGAAGCAGATATCTTCAAAGTCACCAGGCTCTTTTGACAAAAACATCATTTTAGTTTCCCGTCGGAAAGGAAATACTTAAGATCCAGAAGTGCGACGTCTAAAACCCTTTAAAATATAAAGTTAACGCCACAAAGATGAAGCGCACCTTGTTTTAAATAACAGATTTTTCAAGTTTGAAAATTGTTAGACAACTCAACATTGATAACATAGGTTTAGTCGTTTTTTTTGACATTTTAATGCGGGAAAGTTAAACTATTATACCTCCAACCTTTACATTCAAAGTAACCAAGTGGAACCAACCTTGATAGAGTCCGCCCCCGGTGTGATGTCACTAAGCAGGTGAGAGAACAGGAGTTCGGAGTGGCCGGGGCTTCCCTGAAGGACGCTCGCGCAGGCTCCGGCCACCTGGACCCACAGCTCCAAGGTCCTGTACACCGAAACCCGCACCGAGCTGAGGGACGAAGACGGCACATGAGGCAAACGCTTCAACGAGCAATTTAAGCGCATGAGAAAATAAGGTCCAGGTGGAAAAAATACCCACGTTCCCCCTGAAAGAGCCAATTCATATCCTGTGAGTTACCTGTAGGCTCTCTGCTGTCCCAGACTGGCTTCAGGTAGAGGCGTCCAGGCAGACAGGGTTTGAGAGAACAGCCTCTGTAGCACAGCGGCGTACTGGACCATGCCGCAGCGCACACTGCAATACACACACACACGCAGTGTCATCACCACACAACTGATGTGACATACAAGTCCATCAACTCAAATACAAAAGTGTGTTTGTGCACGTCAGTACTCACGCTGTGATAAGAGCTGATAAGACCTCCAGTGTGTTGGTGTGTATGACAGGCAAGACCAGCAACCTCACACTCCCATCTCCTGTTAAATTCTGACACACACACACACACACACACACACACACACACACACACACA